CTGAGCGTCAGACGTGACAAATGGAGTAAGCACTGACGCAGAAGCTTCCAAGGCCAGCAGTTTAAAACGAAACTGTATTGATTGAGAATTTAATTGCTCCCTAATTGCTGAGTAAACACTGACTGGTCCATTGATCATGCCTCAGACCTGTGGGGAGAGAAGAAAGGAGAGCTGGACGCTGAGGCAGTGCTAAGGCAGGGCTCTTCCGGACAGCCATTCTCGGAGGGGTGTCCTTTCTAGAGTCTAGAGCATCCAGGAGTGCAGCCTCCAGCAGAGCCTGCAGCTACTGTCACACCCACTCTGCTGCTGGTTAGCGGGTGACAGAGGAGAGCGGTGTCCCCATAAGAGTGGTGTAGGCCCTGGGAGGTTCTGGTTAAGGCAGGAGGCGCTCTCAATGCACGCAGTGGGATATACAGGCTATAAAAATCCTTTTTTTTTTTTAATGGGGGAGCAAGTAAAACCACTTCATAGAAAAATAAAACCCCAGAAGGTTGCACACTAATATAATAACTGGTTAATTCTATATGACTGGATTCAATTTTTATTTTCTTCTTTGTATTCCTGTATTTTCCACATTTCAAACAACTAGCAAGTATAACTTATAATCAGAGAAAATAATGTTACTTAAGATTAAATGAAATGTCTCAAAGGATTTCTCCTGTGCTTTAAAAAAAAAAAAAAAGTCATAGCAGCAGCTCCGTGGAAAGAGGTGGCGTTTTGGAGTTAGACCTGGACCTACCTGCCGGCTCCAAACTGATTAGCAGGGTTCCCTCTATCAAGACACGGAACTTCTCTCCACCCAGATACCTTATCTGTAAATGGGAGTAGCAGCTATCTCACAGAATTAAATGAGATAAAATATTGAGAGTGCTTAGTATAACATCTTGGTGTGTTCAGTAAGTGTTGTGTTCAATAAATATTAGTGTCTCTTCCATCCTGGAGTAGGGCGGGGCAGTTGAGGAGGAAGGACCAAATACTGGGGGTGAGTCAGTTTAGCTTGCTAGGGCCCGAAGTGCCACCCTCACCCCTATCCCTTCTTTCTCCCTAGAGCTGGGGATTATTCTATTTCCTCCCTAGTGCCTCTCTTTTCTGGACACCCCCCACCCCAGCCTCCTGTCATTACCCTAACAGAAGCCAATCTTCCTCATCTCACCCCATTGCCACCGATGGGGACAAATGGGCTGCCATTCTGCTAGATACTGGGAGGCAGCTGGCCAGCACCAGGGTCATTGTTCCAAATGTCACTGACAGCCTGAGAGGGAGGGAAGCCCATGGGATTGAAAGTAGGGCTGCAATTACTAGCCTATTCAATTCCCCAGAATAAAGACCTGCCATTAGCTAGCAGCAGGGAGGAGGTGGGGAAGGGAGATAAAAGAAACTGGCACACACTTGCTGCCCCCTGGGCTGGTTCCGAGCCCCCCACTCCCAGCTCTCACCTGAAGGCCTATTACCCTGCTAAGCATAGGGATATGGGAACCTAGGCACAACAGAGCCTGTGATAACTCTGCCAGCTACACAACTGTTCCATTGTATACCAGTCCCCGATGCCTACCACACGGCCCCTTCTCTCACAGGCACGTAGTTTCCAGATTTGTTTCACTTCGGGTCTCCCCATTTCTGGGATCATCCTCCCTGGCAGGCTCTAGGTTCCAAGGCAGATTTCTCTTGACCCCCTCTCCCAGGTGTCTGGGGAAGGCTGTCCTAGCACACACTCATGGGGCTTGGGCTTCCTGGCCTCTTTGGAGGGGGTGAGGTCTCTCCTGGTACCCCGGGGCCCTCCTCTGGGCTGAGGGTTTGCCTCAGGCTGCAGGAGCAGCTCCTCTCACACCTCACATGTGTGATCAGCTGCTGGTGACCAGCTAATACAGATCAGCTGCTACTGCAGCCCCTGGGGGATAAGCCCAGAGGCTCAAGTAAAGGGATTCTTGCTCAGCCCCACAGCTTGGGGTGGAGGCAGGGAGGGGACAGACCTCTCAAACTTGTGCTGACCTTGGTCACCACTGGCTTCAGCCATGGTGCAGAGGAAGGTGAGGGACCTCTGTGGCCAGCTCTGAGGTCACACACCAAATGCCCCAATAGTTGATCCTGAGATCTGATGGATTAGTTTGGATTCCTTATTGGGGTCACCAGTAGAGACCAAGTGGCTTATGCCTACGCCTAGAAACCCTCAGAAGAGGCTGATCTGGCTGGAGCCTAGCAAGCTGGTGGGAAACCAGACTGACCAGTGGGGAGGAGCCTGGCTTGTCTTAGAGGGCCCTGTCACACCCACCCTGGGCTGGCCGTCACCCTGGTCTCTGAGTCCTACATCCTTGTAGAGAAACTCACCGGAAAGGTTTGGGCTACATTCTCTGGGGGCAGGGCACCTGGCTAAAGGGAAGGGATTAAGGGCTATGAAGGGGTCACACAGGGTTGGTAGCAGGGATGCTGGGAGTCTGATGGGAGAAAACTTATCTCATCAGAATGGAATTCCCCCAAGAAGCCAAGAATAGACAGACCAACTGACACATACATTGTCAGAAAACACCTACATGGTCTCCTCTCAGAGAAGCAGAGAAACGGTCATCAGAAAAACAGACAGACAGGCAGACAGAAACACGCTCTAGAAAACTACAAACCAGACAGACAGGACAACTAGGAATAACTGGGAACAGACACAGACAACAGCTGGACCAGCTTGGGTGCAACTCTCCCTGCATCCCAGAGGGGAGGGCTGCAGCTGGCAGGGCTTACAGATCCTGCAGGAACCAGTGTTCGGGGAAACCTCCCGCTCCCTTCTTCCCTCCCCAGAGCACCTCCGCCCCAACCTTGGCACCTGCCCTTCAAGGGGAAACCGAGATAAAAGGTTTCCTACCGTCCCACCCTGAATCTTGGAAAAGAACCCTATTCCCTTGGAGCCCGGCTCAAGCATAAGAGAGCAGCACCCCTCCCTGGCCCCACATACACCCACCTCTCTCCCACCTTATCCCACCAGGAGCCAGGCTGCAGGCTGACCCAGCCAGGTAGTCAGAGGAATTTTGGCAGGTGAAAGAGTGGGAGGGGTGAGTATGACAGACAGAAAGGACTGAGGAAAACACTAGGGAGGATTTCTGTTGCTGGGCCCCCCAGGACTGAGCTCTGTGAGGGCATGATGTTACCCATCCTCACCAGTGCCTGGTGCTTGGGTGGCAGCTATGAAAGGTTCACTGAATTGAGTTGGGTTGATGGGGTGGAGGGCAGGATAGACATCTTTCGTCACCTCTCATCCCCTGCCAGGGAGGACATTATTAGGAAGAAGACTCAGCCATGTGTTTGAACAGGGACAGCTTATGGGAGGAGCTAGGCTCCGTCTCTTTCCTCCCGGACCACCCTCATGGTACTCCACTCTCTGTCCTCTCTCTCTTCTCTCCCGCTGTCTCATTCTCCCATGTCTCTCCTTCCTTCCAGTTTCCATGTGAGCCATTTTCAATTTGGAGGCATCACAATGCCCCACTCGATGGGGAGCTCCTCAAAGATCCCGTGTCCTAACTTGTCCTTATGCCCCGGCACAGAACTTGGCCCAGAGGCCACTCAGGGCCTCGTGCGGGGCTTGGGCCTTCCCTTTGCCTCCCATCCTCCAACATGGTCAGCTGCAGGGAATAACCATGCCTTCTGCAGCCTTGGGCTGAAGGATCTGGAGGTGTTATCGCGGCCCAGTTCCCACTGTTCCCTCCTCAGAGTCCTGCCTCGTCCCAGACCCCCTCCGACTTCCCTTTCAGGGAAAACCAGTAGTAGCAGCTTTCAGGGGTGGTTCTCTGTCCCCAAGCTCAATAGCCACCGTCTCTGATTACTATCTACTTATTCTCCAAGGACGAAAGGGAAAGCTCATTAAGGAAATTGTTAAATCTTAAACCTGGAAGTGGCGAGCAGTGGGATTCTAATGCCCTAAGTGTGCATCTGGGCGTGGGCACTTACTGGCTGTGTGGCTATGGGCAAGTCCCCTGAGTGCTCTGAACCCCACTCTCATCTCACGTAAGACAGGGATTATAAAATCCACCTGGTCCTATCTCCCTAAGCAGTCAAGAGGCTCCGTGAGGTTATATGTAAATGTTATTTTCTAGGTAGACCAACCCCTTCATATACAGACAGGGAAACTGAAGCCTAGGAGAGGGAAGTAACTTGCCCAAATTCATTCCGACCACAGGAGACTGTAGATGGGGCAAATTTCAGTCCAGAATTGAAGTATCTTACTCCAAGTGAAGTAAAGAACAAGAGAAATGTGCAAAACTGTAAGACAGAAAAACTGGTGGAAGAGAGAAGGAAAAAACGTGTAATAAGGGACAGGAATTGACAGCACACACAGTTCTAGAAGAGAGGGAGAGGAAATTGATGTGGGCGAGGAAGAGGAGAAATGGAGGAATGGAAGGGCAGAGAGACAGATGAATGTGGAAGGAGAAAGATGAAAGCATGATGGAGACAGACTACAAGATGAACAAGAAAGCCTGGGACACTGACACCAAACTCTGACTTTTCAATACTCCCCTTCCTTCCCAGGTTGTCAGCTAACTCAACTAAGGTTGAAAAATCCCTAAAATTAAAGTCTGTCATCTTGGCTCCTTTATGGAAGGAGAAAGATTAGAAAGAAAAATGTAAATGTTTGATATAAGAGGAAGAGTGGGCACTACCATTGGTTGAGCAACTACTGAGTGCCAGACAACCTGCCACATGCTATATACATGTGTGTGAATATATATGTGTGTTAATTTCCCTTGCTGTTTAAAAATATATTTTATATAGGCCGTTTACAGGGGAGGAAGATAGGTTTGGGATTTGAACAAAACTGCGTAATGACCTCAAAAGTTGGGAATGGCTCATCTGGGGTCAAAGGAAGGAAAAAGAACTGGAAGTATGAGGAAGGAGATAAAAACAAACAAAAACACAAGGCTTAAGAGTAAGAGGCCAAATGGCACAGAGGTGTGTGCTTTGCTTGAGGGGAAGGACAGTGGGGGTGGGGAAAGGAGGAGCATCTACCAGTCACATCCCACCTTTGGGAGGCCAGGTCGGAGCAGGCAGGCTTCTGCTCGGCGTCGGCGGCTGGGCAGCAGAACTGGTGCAGCACAGTCTCATTCCTGAGGGCAGAGCAGAGGGAGAAGGTCAGGGTGCGGGGAGGCAGGCCAACACCAAGGCACTTCTGCCCTGAAAACTTGACCCTGTGTCACCGAAGTCTCCAGCACTGATCCAGTGTAGCATCGTTTCCCTGTCATCAAGGCCTTTTCAATCATTCATTAGGCCCAATTCAAACGCCACCTCCCGTCAACGGAACTGTTCCTACTTCTGCACCCCATCCCCTCAGTAGGCTCCTCTACGTATCTGTACCATCAATTTCCTCATCTTTCATCATTATCATAGTTCTTTATAACCCTGTTCCCCACTAAGTTCTGGCAAGGCGGAACTAGGTCTATTCCTCTGTGAGAACTGCATGCAGTAAACATCATAAAGCTGATCAGATGCAAAGATACAAAGCACTCATACAGAGACATTAGTGTGGCCAGCCGAAAATCCAAGGCATGGTACGTGATGGATTTGTTTGATGCAGATGAAAAAGCCAACCCAGGAAGCAGAGATCTGGGTTCCAGTGGCAGCCAGCCAGCTCTGTGAAACCCAGCTCACCTTTTCTGGGTCTCAACTTACCGACTGATGAAATGAGGGAGTTGAACTAGAGAAGTGGTTGGTTCTCAACCGTAGGTACTTATTAGAATCACCAGGAGATTTTTAAAACTAGCCCTGCCTGGGCCCTTCCCCTCAGGGACTCATTCACTTGGTCTGACTTGGCTCAGAGGCACCAGGACTTTTTATAAGCTCCCAGGTGATTCTAAAGGCAGCCAGAATTGAGAGCAATTAGACTAGATAATTTCCAAGGTCCCTTCCACCTCTAAAATGCTGCGATTCTAATATCCACTTTGAGCCAACTTGGGATTTAATATTGAAATTACTTTTGCACAAAGTAATGCTGTCCATTGCCTTCTCTCCCTTAGCAAGTAGTCGCCATACTGGGCATTATGGAGTCAGAGAATGTCAGACCTGGAAGGGCCCCCAAAGATCACCTGAAAGAGATTTTTAAACTTCTTTAGCTTCAGAACACTTTGTTCAAACCCAATCTTTACTGGAAGCTGCTGAGTTTGGCTATCCTCATGGAAGAAAATAACATTGGAGCCTACCTTAATTTGACAAAAATAAATTCCAGAGAGATTGCATGTTTAAATGAGAAAAATAAAACAAGGGAAAATATAGACGCAAATTTGGGAATATAGCCTATGTGTCAGGGAGACAAAACAAAACAGGAAACTGAAAAGCTGGTAGGAAAAAAAATAAACATGTCTGAAGACATAAAAGGAAAACATCTAGTATGGAAAAAGACACCCTATTAAGTCAAAATACAAATGATAGAATGGAAAAATATATTTGCAACACAGAAGACAGAAGGCATGTTAATATCCTATGTTGAACCTCCACAAAGACAAACCCAATAGAAAAAATGGGTGGAGCATATGAATTCCAGTTGACAGAAGAGGAAATCCAAAGAGCAGGTAAATATATGGAAAGGTGCTCTACTTTGTAGTAAACAGGAAAACGCAAATTAAAGCATCACTGAGACGCCACTGCCTGTCCACCAGACTGGCAAACATTAAAAAGACTAGCAACTACAAGTGCTGGTGAGGGTGTGGGGAGAGAAGTGCCCTCATCCATGATCTGTATAGATGTGAATTTTTACAGTGGTTTTTGGAAATTTAAAAGAACACAGGTCTTCTGACCCAGAATCCCACCTCTGGAATATTATGCCCTAGAAATGCAAGTACCCATTCATAAAAGTATTTGTACAAAATGTGGCAGCATTGTGTTTAGTGGGGGAAACAAAACAACTGGAAATAACCTGAGTGCCAATCAATCAGGGAATGGCTGAGTAAACTGATAGCTTTATTCATACCAGGAATTATGCACTATATCTCTATATGGAATTATGTGCTTTATTTCTATATAGGACCCATTCTCAGTCCTTGGCTCTTAAAATGAAATTATGTGCTGTTTCTCTTGGCCTGGTTGGATTTCCACAGCATATGGCTAAATGAGAAAAGCTAGTTGCAGAGAAATGTATATAGTTTTGTAAAATAAACAATGACCCCTCTCCCCCCAATGGAAATTCTATACATTGTACTGTATTCATATATGAGTGCATACATAACTAAGCTGTTAACATTAGTTACCTCAGGAGGATGAGAATGGGGAAAAAGAGGGATTGGTAAGAACAGGAAAAGGAAAACATATGTTGGTGTAATGTTAACTAAAAATGTTAAATATAAGTCCCTACTTATAATATTACTATAAATACATTAAAATTGAATATGCACCTGGAAGGACTAGAATGTGTCAGGAACCCACACAAATATTAATGTCATTTCGGAATGGATCATGGGCAATTTTTATCTTGGATTTTTATTAATTTAATAGATTACTGATTATGTATAATCTACAGATTATAGATTAATATTTAATGCAACTAAACTTTTTTAAAGGGCAATGAAGCAAATAGTTGAATCTGATCCTTCATGTTACAGATGAAAAAGCTGAGGTCTAGGATGGGGAAGTGATTTGTCTAGGGTTGTTCTCTGACCAAAGTCCCAGGTCAGTCTTCCAGTCATCCCCACCATCCCAACCCCAGACCCAGGTTTCTGGGGACAAATCAGAGCCTTTAGAGAATTGTCTCGATCTCAACATCTTGCAATAGTTCCTAGGGCTGCCTGGCATGAGGAGAAGGGGGAGAAGGAAGGAGGAGGCAGGGCTGAAGACCTCAGAGCGCAAACAATGGAGGGGCAGGTGGACCCAGGCGTGTAGATAAAGCAGAGGGCTTACCCCCAGTTCATGCCACCACGTGTACTTGTGCCCTGGCACTGGTTCAAAATTCTGACACAAGACCCTGAGAGCCTAGGCAAAGAGTCATAGCTCGTTAACCACAGGCAGCACTCACATTTCAGGAAGGAGGGGGTACCCAGACTCAGTCACAGGCTGCCTGCCGCAGTGTTGCCTGGGCTCTGTTCTGATCCTGTCTCTATTTCCCAGAGGAGACCTCACAGAGCTGGGAGCTGCATCTCTGACCCGGCACCGAGGCAGGCTCCAGACTCAACTGCATTGGCTCATGCAATGGGCAACATAAGCCTGTATGTCCCCAAGTCCTTCTCCACCTCAGGCTTGGGATGGCAGTGCTATTGGGGTTACAGTCTCTTTGGGGGCTCCTGCTGATGGGATACCTCAGGACAGTCCAGCTGAGAGGGGACGCTTGCCTTCAGCCCTTCTCCTATTTCCCTTCTATTCACCTCCATCCCCAGGCGCCTCCTCAGCCTGGCCCAGGGGCTTCCCATTAGAACCTCCCTTCCTGCCTTCTCTTGGGGTTTAGTTCATAATGAATCATATAAGTCATACTCTGCCTGCATCTGACCAGCTTGCCACCTCCCCTGCCCACAGTCATGGTCCACGTCCTCTGACCTGGGCAGGTCTCAGCTTAAGTTGGCAGAATGTTGCTTTCAGCCTCCCAGACTTCCCTTCCCTCCTCCTCAAAAAAGAATCCAAACAAAGGGACCCAAAGAATTCATTCCCATTAAAAATAAAATTGGAGATGTGATGAGAAGGGAACCTCATCTCTGTGGTATTCTTTCTAAAACCTTTAACCCCAGTCTAACTGAGAAAAACATCAGAAAAACAACCCAAATTGAGCACATTCTATGAAATATCTGACCAGTACTCCTCACAATGGTCAAGGTCCTGCAAGCCAAAAAAGAGATAGAAACTGTCACAAACCAAAAAAAACTAAGGAGACATGACAACTGTCGTGTGGTACTCTGAATGGGATGCTGGAATAAGAAGAGGATACTGGTGGAAAAACTAGTAAAATACAAATAAACGCTAGAGTTTTGTAGATAGATATAGATAGATGATAGATAGATAGATAGATAGGTAGATAGATAGATGATAGGTAGATAGATAGGTAGATAGATAGCAGACAGATGACAGATGATAAAATCGAGACAGCAGAATACTAATAATTGTATGTTAGGACTTTATAGTGTTTACCATGTGGTAAAACTGTCCTAAGCACTTTCCATGTATTAACTTGTTAATTCTTACAAAACATCCAACAAAACTTTCTCGTTACTCTCCAGAAGAGGAAACTGAGGCATAGTGAGTTTGTGAGCCGCTGATGAAATATGCATTCGACATATACCTCATTCCTTATGGCAACTCTTATGGTGTGCTTTATCATCCCCCCCCCCCCCTTTTTGTTTTTACAAATAAGAAAACCAAGACTCAGAGAAGGTAAGTGAGTTGCCCAAGGCCACACAGCTGGTTAGTAGGAGAGCCTAAAGCCCAGTCAGGCTTTGGAATCATACGGCCCCTAACTCACCCTGGAGTGTGAGCCTGGGAAGGGCTTTCTCAGAGTCCCCATGTCAGCACAGTTCCAGAGGCATCATTCACATTGCAGGCTGTGGGGTTCACAGACTGAGGCTGTGGCCCCAGGAGTTGTGGAGCTAGAGGGGACTCAAGGAAATTGGCAATGGAAAGGGCCCCCCTGAAAAGGGAACATGACCCATTCTCAGTCCTTGGCTCTTGAAATTCCAAGAGGGAAGTTTGTGGTCCAGGCCAAAAGCTCATTTCTTGGATTCTTAATTCCAGGGCTCATCACTTTAGGCAGAATTCAGTCCTTCCTGGCTTTAGCGATTCCCAGGGGCCCCAAATTGATGAGTGTTGATGGGGTAGCTGGTTTGTGGGTGGATGTGGTAAAACCTAAACGTGAGGCGGTCTGAACCCAGAATGAGGATTTTGATGTGTGGCTTATCCCGGGTCACGCTGGGAGGCGGGGCTGAGAAAGAGCTTGGGGTTCTCGGGAATGAGAGGAGCAGAGTGAGGAGCAGCTAGCTCAGGAAATTTCAGGCATCACCCAAGTAAGATAGGGGTTAAGGGTCTTCAAAGAGGACAGTGTGGACCTGAAGGAAGAGCAACCTAGGGCTCAGCCAGAAAAGACCTTGTTTCTTAGCTAGGAGCCAAGAAGAGAGTGGCCATGCTGTCAGAGAAGAAACAG